CAATATACTATACATGCTAAACCAAAAAGCCTGGTCTCCACATCCCTCCACACTGGGACACTATTATATAATATATGTCAATCCAATTACTACTGGACGCCTTGAAATCCAATCCTGCAGCCCCAGGTGAGTCAACGAATCGCTTGGAACAGCCCTTGGGGAACTAGAGCTCATCCTTGGGAACATGTCTCCACTCATCTCACATCTATGTTCCAAACGAGAAAAAAACCCGTTTCTTATAGGGAGTCTCAGTATACACCCACCAGGCTCGCAGGCCGATTGGAACCGGACTGAACGTTCAAGAGGCATCCAACTCCTGGGACTTTTGGCTTGACGAAGATCCCTCAAGCACACCGGCACTGCCCAGCACCCTACAAAGCCTATAGTTCCACCATGGGTCGCTTCACTTTTGTTTTTGCGGCGATCCCACACCGAGGAGATAGATCCACGCCCGATCCACGCAAACGCCCTGCGGATGAAAGATCGCTTCTGCCAAGTGGCTCTAGGATGTAGGCAGTCACCTGGCTTCAGTCGACCAAATGTGGATCAAGTCCTTTGCAATCGGATCTAAACGGACCAATTCTTGCGAGTTGTGCAATTGTAGGTCGTTCTTGACCTTGATAAGTCAGCTGTTTACAAATCCTGTGTTTCTAGATCCTTCTGAAATCCATAAGCACAGGTCCTGCTGTTTTGGAATTGGTATGTTGCAACATCTGAGTCACCAATAGGTCCTGCTTCATGTCTGATGTCCCATTGTGTGAGACCGCGGTGATGTGGGACGACTTAAACCCACGGTATGCTGAACATTTATATATATACATGCAAAAGCTGAGAGGTCCATACCCCTGAGCAGGAAGACCTCCCTCCTGCACCAAGCTTCTACAGAATCACCATTCCTTTCACAACAGAATGGCCATGTTTCCTGAAGACCAGCTGGCCACCAGTAATTCCTGCCCATCTGGTCAGCGCCTCATCATTCCACAGGTAGCCGATGGTCACGGGGTGCATGGCATCCCGAAACTGTCAGGGAAGTGGAAAGCACAAAAAATCTCTTGTATGGAATAGTTACATACATTTTAAGTCATGAAACATGCCTCATATACCCTCATGTAGCTAACTACTACACATGGATGGTCTAGGTAACAAGTGCCAATTGCTGGGACATGCCAATCAACTACCCGACATCTCGGGGCCCGAGATACTTGCTCCAAAGCAGCAGCCCTGGCTACATTCATCACAAAACGGATCAAATAGAGCTAGCTACACATGGCTAGAGATAGTGAATGAGAGCTACACATAGCTACACATGAGAGCTACACATGGCAACAACAGGACCTAGACCGGGATGCAAGAGGTACCGTAAGTGGTCCTCTAAGTGGTCCTTCTACCATCTTCTACATCGTCAATTCACCAACCAGTCGCTTTGAAACTATCTGCCCTAAGGCACCTGTGCAAGCAAGCAAGAATACAGGACATATAGTGACACATACAAAAAAATAACACCAAAAATACAGGTGCATATAGAGACAGTGTCAAAACCTCATCTTCAGGTATGAAGGCTAAACGGAGGGTGTGTGGAGAAAGGGGGTCAGCAAAAATCGCTTATACGAAGTTAGTGCATCAAAAATACCTTCCACGAAGTTCTGCGAAGGTTTCTGGGATTTCGTTGCAGTCAGTTCTCCTACTGGCCCACCATTCCACGAACCGTCCACGAACAGCCTTGGGTTCTACGAAGGTCACGCGCCTTCCACGACGTTGGTAGGGTGGTTTTTGCAAAACCCTTTCTGTGCACTACCCTTCCGTTTGCCTTTGAAGGTAAGGTGTCCTCTCTCTGAATCGCAAAAAGTTAACTCAAACCCAAACAACACACACACACCGTACTTGAGCTGTGCTTGAGCTTGGCTTGCCCGGTATCTGCCCCTGCCACCAGCGCGTCAACTCCACCTCTGTTCGGGTCTGACCGGAAGTGGGTCTGCCCACCTGCTGCGCAAAGGTCTCTTCCAACTTCTCCACCGCCACGCGACACAGCGCCTCCTTGAGCCCTCGATCCTCGCGAGGATCCGTGAGGTCTCGTCTGTTCGGCTCGAGAAATGCTGGTTCCGGCTACGGTGGTTTCACAAACCACAAATCCCTACCATGTCTTTTGGGTGGGGGTCCAGATAACCACCCTTGTGGGGATTGTGCCATCTACTCTGAAACCACTAGTAAGAATTCGGCAGGGCAGGATTATGGTAAGAGCTACAGGTGAACCTCTCCTCGAGAAGGGGAAAGCGAAGGTTGAAGATGGAAAGAGGGACATGTTCAACATGTTTGGTTTATCTTGGTTTCATTATTACAAAGGAGGTCTTAAATGTGTCTTTGTCTAAGTAGGTCTCAGGTTCAGGTCTTAGTGTTACAAATGTTTTGCTCAACAGCGCATACTGCCCAAAACTTAGACCACCCATCGGAAGAGTGTTCAACCAATTGTATATAAATTGGTCGGACGGTTGGACTAATTTGACGAAAGGTTGAGAGAAACTGATGATAATGAAAGGTTGATATTAACATATACATGGCGTAAACCACCGTAGCCTCCAAAGAACTTGAAGAACGACATTATATGCAGGAATATTAACATCATGGGTCATCAACCAACCAACCAACCAACCAACCAACCAACCAAGCAAGCAAGCAAGCAAGCAAGCAAGCAAGCAAGCAACACAACACACACACACACAAAAATACATACCAAGCGATCAATCACTTGATCGATCAATGAACCAATCAACCCATCAACCTATGAACTTATTCTTAATCGATTGCTCGGATTCACTCAACCAGTCGAATCCCTCGCACACCTGGTTGCTGAGGTGTTACTTCCCATTGTTCATACCTGCTTAGTAGTTTCAGTCCACCGAAGCTTTTTTTTAGATACCCAATCCCTGAAACCATCGAAGTGGATGGCATGGCTCCTTGGTTGCTCCCATGATTCAAACACCAAACAGGTTCTTTTCCACTTCAATATTCCAGGAGTGTAATCTTTCCCAAGTGAAGGTTAAACATCAACCACATTTTACAGTAAAGCCATCATCGTCATCCCGACACACATAGCAATAAATAATACAACATATACAAATATATGTATAGTACCACCAAGGGTGGTATAAATACACCCTCTGACCATTCGCTTTCATTCCAATAACAATCCTTTGAGTGGCGCTGGTATATATACATACAAGTATGTATATATATATATGTATACGCAGTAAACCATTGATTCAAAGCATGCCTGGTCGTGTCTATGCCAGTGCGGTTAGATTTATCAGATTTATACACTGGGACGACTGGCGCAGCCGTGGGACGACTTCACGCGATGCGGCACAAGAAAAGTCAAGGACCCTGTAGGTGGGATGGGCACCCTGTGCACGACAGGATTCAGCAACACATAAAGATGATGTATGATAAGAACTGGGTTCCACACAATGTTCACAACAAAGTCTAAAAAGAACACATTGACAAACATAATGTGTAAAAGTAGAATGGTCAGTCACAACCGAGTCAGAACCTCCACAAGAAAGGATGAGACTGGTGATGTTTTTTTGAGTCATCCACTCACATCAGCCAGATCTCCCTGATTTGTTCACGGAAAATGAGTCGGTCACCTCTGACGAACCGTGAAGACAGTCCTGTTCTGTTACGCCCCGACGTTCGACGGATTCGTGGCCCAAACCAACTCGCGATCGATCCGTCATCCCACCTCAGGGTCCTTCCACATAGGTGGGGTACCCGAGGTTTGGTTCACACAAACAGGTGAATTACGAATTTTCTGATTCATGGTTTCAATGAGAAAACGAAATCGTGGCCAGATCTTGCTTTTGTCGAATGCATTTCTTAACCCGCTGGTAGAGTTTTTGACCGTCGGAAAAAGACATCGAAGCATAAGGGGCAATACAGACGGTCTTGAGAGATGAGATCAAAGGCAGCTCTAAGCGCACATTGAGAGGATAAGTCTGATTAGCAAGTGAAGAATAATTGGAGATGTGCTCAATAAGTTTGGAGGCATGAGGGAACTCTGGACGTGACGAAACGCCACCCACTAGACGAGCATGATACCCGAGGCGGACAAGTGATGACGCACCTGTCTTCTTGTAGCGAGGAACAAGCGAACATCGAAGTGTGTTTTCTACTTAGATAGGCCTGGGCTTTGCTAGTGTGTTAAGACTTTAAGTGACTTTATTAACAAAGTAGTATCTGATTAGTACCTCTGTAATAAGATGATAAAAGATGATATAACAAGTTATAACGGTGGTACTCCACTGTATGTTAATATGATACTTATATAAAGTTTGCCTAACATCATTAATGAAGTTAAAGGAAATTATGAATGTTATTTGTTTTATGTAGACATTAGCTAAGTTTCTTTAGCTATGTAGGCCTATTAGCTAATAGTTAGCTAAACTAGCTAACCTACAAAAATGTCGATTTTTCTTTCTTCAAATTTCAACAACAAATCCAAAAAACAGCAACTTATACATGTGTGGTGGAACATGTTGCAGCGTTACAAATTGAAATAATGGTAAAAAATCGACCACAAATGTTTGTCAAAACTGTTTGGCATACATGTGTTCTGTTTTCAGACAAGCAAACTTGTGGTTTGCTGAGAGAGCAAAGAAATGCCACAGCTTGTGCAAGCTAATCTTTTGGCATGCCTTGCTATGTTGAAAATGTTCCAGCTCTGCAAAGCTTGTGTTTGGAAGCATTGAGCATGCACATGCTGTTGGATGTGCAGCTTGTGAAGGCTTCCTGTGGCACTTTGAATGCCAGGTGTCAGCTTGAATCAGTTTTGTTTGGCAAGTTGAAGCCTAGTAAAAGCATGTGCGCTGCTGTTTTTCACAGAAGAAAAGCATGAAGTGCAGCAAGCAGGTTGCAAGGCAGCAAAGACATGAACACACAGGACAACACCTGAACACAAGACATCAAACAATAGACTGGTTGAGGCACTTGGCCTTGCTTTGTTTGCAATGGAGCCAAGCTTGCAAAGAGCTTTGGAAGGTGTGAGGGATGATGAGAATTTGGCCATCAACCTCAAGCTGAGCAAGGTGTGCCAGCTGTTGTCTGAGAATGGGCTCCTGTTTAAGCAACACTTGGCACCCTCATGCCTCACAGTGCACCCACAGAACAGAAGTGGGTTGATGTTGAATGCTTTTGATGTGCATGAGAAAGGGCTGCTGGCTTTAAAGATGGGATTCCAAGTGAGCAAAGTGTCTGAATCATTTTGCTTTGAAATGAGCAGCAAGAAAGAAGAAAGGGACAAGCAAGTGGGTGCTATGAGGGCTCTTGTCACAGCTTCAGAGAGGAAGTTGGCACCAGTGAATGGTACTGAGAGGTTCATGAGTGTATCATGCTCCCACATCAGCCAGTTTCTCAAAGCTGTTGGGTGTGGTCAGTGTGTGACAGAGAATGAAGAACTAGGTGAAAGCTTCCTGACAGTGGAGACCTTGGAAGCACAGTTCCCTTCAGATCACCATTTTCAATCAATGGTGAGGAATGGATGGCAGTGGCATTGCATCAAGAGTGAAGTGGAGGAGTGCTGCCCATGGATGCCACAGCTGCTTCAGGCAGCCTTGAACAGTGGAAATGAAATTTCCAAACAATCCACAGAAATGGAGATTGCCTTGAGTCTGGCCTACACTTACAAGACATCTGCCAGCATGGAGAATGCTTGTGCTGTGGTGAAAGCAGCCACAAGCTTGGGCTATGTGGATGCAATCAGCAAATGGGTGAGGCTGTATGCAGGAGGTGATGACTTCCCCCTGGTTCACCTCTTGGCTTCAATCCAGAAGCTGTTCAACAGCAGCCACTTCTTGGGTGAAGAATTCATGGGCAGTGTTGCAATGGCAGCATTCAAGTCCAAAGAAACCACTTACCCAATGGTCAGAGCTGCTTTGCTTGCATGCAACTTGAGCAGCCCAAAGCAAGTGGATGGTGTTGCCAAGCTTCTTGTCAAAGGGGATGTTGAGAAGCTCAGGAGCCCACAGTACAAAGAGAAGATGAATGGTGCAGAGAGCATCCTCAAGATTTGCTTTGAGCAGGTGCAAGGGTCAGAGAATGGTTTGAAACACAAAGACAATGTCATCCTCCTGGCAAAACTCTTCATAAGGACTGCTTTGTGGCTGTGCAACAAAGAAGGCAAAGGGAGAGAGAGGAAATGCTTTGGCTCCATGGAAAGCATCCATGAAGCCTTCCAAGAAGATGAAAAATGTGGAAAGCTTGCAAAGGAAGAAGAGCCAGCTGAAGAGGGTGAAAGCCAGGACAAGGTTCTATCCTTGCATGACAACATGGATGCTGTAGTGATTGCTCAGCACCAGTACCCTTGGCTTGTCAAAGGCAAGAACTATATGAAGAAGGACAGCAACCTCATCCACCGGTTCAGTGGCATGGGGGCTGAGACTGCCACCTTTGTGGTACAAGACATCTATGGTGTGGAAAGCAATGTGGAGGTGAAACACAAAGAGCTGAAAGTAATGAGGCCTACTGACAAGACTGTTCCAAAGAAGTTGGACAACAGTGCTGTGGCAAAACTCCAAGTGGGCAAATCAACACATTGGCTGCAAGAGCTTGCCAAATCTGAGGTGCAAGCGGCTGTGCTCAACAACTGCATGGAGGAAAGTGCTGTGGATCTCAGCAGCTTGCTGTTCTTTGATGACAGCAAAATCTTTACTAAGAAGCCCATCAAGAAAGGTGCTCTCAAGATATACCCCTTTGGGCAAGTGCAAAGGGTGAAGGATGAAAAGAAAGATGGAGAGAAAGGTGAAGATGAAAAAACCAGAGCAAACAAAGTGTTTGTGACAAACTTGAATGAAAAGGTCAAGTACCAAGTGCTTCAGCCCAAGGTAGATTGGAACAAAGAAAGTGGTGCTATCCCAATGTTCTTCTGGGCGCAGCCAACCAATGAAGACAGTGAGGCAGACATGCAGCTGAGTGAAGTGAAGTACAAGAACTTTTTGTCAATCCCTTGTTTAAAGAACAAGGATGCCATCCCACAAGGCCAGCAGTTAATGTTTTTGAAAGAGGACTCTTCTGAGAAGAGTGAACCTAGCAAGAAGAAGGCTAGGAAGTGAAGCACCCAAAGGCAGGAAACAGGTGTGGCTTATAGCCAGTACAGGCATTGTTCCAGCCAGCATGGTTACATAGCCTGTAAAGGCTTACATAGCCTGTAAAAAAGCTTTGTCAACTTTTAACTACTAAAGCCTGGTTTTGTTTTGCATGTTCACCACACCAGTTCTGATAGAGGAAACTATTTGGCCCAAGCCCTTGCAGTGATGGAAATTGCTAGAAGGATTTCCTTGAAATACAATGATGGCCCTGCTGTGGTGCTCCCTGCCCAGCTAATTCACTTTGATGATGATGGACAGGCATGGGTGAGGTTCAAGCCATCACATTATGCCATTGGCAAGTTGGTTCTGGGGCACATGGAGGAATACACAAATGCTGCGGCTGTGAACTTGTCATCCAGCCCTCAGTGGAAAGAACTCAAATGCTTACAAAAAGCTGTGGTCAAGAAGGAGCTGAACCTGGACACCAGCAGCAATGAAGTGTTTGATGATGATGATGATGATGATGATGGTGCACATGAAAGTGATGACAGCACCAGAAGGTCATGGAAGAAGCTCCTGGAGAAGGTGGGCAAAAGCATCGTTGTGAACCTGAATGGTGTTGATGTGAAAATGATGACACCAGCTAATTGGAAACAATCAGAGGTGCTTGTGGTCTTGGAGGAACTCCAGTTGAAGGCCTTCTGTGACTATGTTTGCCAAGATGTGGATGCTTGTTTTGGTGACAAAAAACGAATCTACACAAGAAAGAGGCCTGCAGCATCTGCTGGCAATAGTTAAAGAACTGTTTGAGCAACAGTTTGGGCCAAGAGTGATAAAAGTGAGTCCAAACTGTGCTGCTCAGCCCCTATAGGCTTGTGTTGTTTGCATGGCCATTAAAGGCTTGCCATAGCCAATATAGGCTTGCTCAATGTCATGGTGTCACAGCCAATACAGGCTGGTTTAGCCAACCATTGGGGGTGCCCACTTTTGACAGAGTTGAAAACCTAGCCATGTCCAGCTCCAGCATAGCTGGGAAGGTTGGTGAAGTTGCAGGATTACACAGACACATTCAACACACAGCAATGCAAAACATACTGTCCATGAAGCACATGGATAAAAGCAATGGCAGAACTCCTGCAACCCAAACACACCATGATGAATGCTTACTGTTTACATTGTGAGTATGACACCACAATTTTAGTGGGTGTGTGTGCCATTAGCACACAGGTTTGGTTTCACTCCAGGTTTCACCTGACCTAGCCATGGCCAGCTCTGGTTCTGGAGGGCATGATGCAGAGATGGAGTTCTATGAGGAGTGGGCAGCAGAACAAAGCCAGCTCCACATGCTGCAGGAGGTGGGGCTGCACAAGTCTTGATCATCCTAGGCTTGTGTGTTTGTTTTGCATAGCCATTATAGGCTTGTCAAAGCCAATGCAGGCTCAATGAATTTGATGTCACAGCCAGTGCAGGCTTGTTTCAGCAGCCATCCTTAAGGGCCTTTGTCTGCCAGGTAGCCAGCAAGTGTGTGCGTGACCAGATGAACCAGTGGAGGGCGACCATGGCTGAAGAGAGGGCCCAGAAGAGATTGAAGGCATGGTTGACTTGAGGTTTGAGTTTTATACCCTCTGCAATTGTCCAAAGGGTTAATGTTCATTTCTGTGTTTGAGTATGTTTGCAGGTGACACCACAAGTGGCAGTGGAGGAAAAGGAAGTGAAGATGGATGAGGTGAAGCCTTCTACTGGTGGAAAAGAGAATACTGCAGGGGAGCAAAAGAATGAGGTAAAGATGAATGAGGTGGAGCCTCCTTCACCCATTTCGGTTGAAAATGAGAAGGCAGTGGAGAAAAAGGATGACATGAAGATGGATGAGGGGAAGCCTTCTCCCAGTATGGCTGGGCATGGGAAGCCTGCAGTGGAGGAAAAGCAGAAGGTGAAGATGGATGAGGTGAAGCCTTCTCCCAGTATGGCTGGGCATGGGAAGCCTGCAGTGGAGGAAAAGCAGCAGGTGAAGATGGATGAGGTGAAGCCTTCTACCAGTATGGCTGGGAATGTGAAGCCTGCAGTGGAGGAAAAGGATGAAATGAAGATGGGTGAGGTGAAGCCTGCTCCCAATACTGATGGGGGTAAGAAGACCTCAGTGGATCAAAAGAATAAGGCTGAGGTGAAGATGAACAAGGCTGAGGGGAAGATGGATGAGGTGAAGCCTTCTCCCAGTGCAATTGGGAATGAGCAGAAGCTGTGCCCTCCAGCAAAGAAACCACCTGTGTCACCACCGATTATGATGCCAACAGCCAAGGTGAAGCAGGACAGTTGAGATTTTGGAAGCTGAGTATGTGGATGGCCTGCAGAGGCTTAAACTGCAGCTGATATAGGCTTAGTGGTGTAGCCTCTATAGGCTCAACCCAGCCCCTACAGGCTCAACCCAGCCTTTACAGGCTAACCTTTTTGTGAACTAAGGCTTTGCTATTGCAATACCTTTTATGTTTGTGTAATTGTTCACACAACCTGCAGGAACCCTCCAACAAGGACAAGAATGTGAAGGATGAGTACCTGCTATGGGAGGAAGGTATGGATGCTGGATGGGCACAGGACCAAATCAACATGTGCGATCAACAAATAAACAAATCTTAGAGTACAGTGTATTGACTGCTGATGTGTATAATTGTTATCAGTGTTGTTTCAAAACCTGCAGGATGGAAATGGTGAGTGGGCATGGTGGGAGAAGGATCTCCATCAGGAGAACTTATGGTGGTGGGTGAAGAATGGCTCCTGGCATCGGTTCAAGGTTCATGTTAATGATGACTATGGACCAACTGGAGGTGGATGGATGGCAAAGGCACTTGCACTATGCCACATGCACTACAAGAAGGAGAATGAATGCCTGAAGTATTCATTGGAGAAGCTAGCATGCCATCCAAGCATCACAAAGTGCTGGAACAAAATCCAAGCAGGATATGATGTGAAAGGAATGAAGATTTATGGCCAGTACATTTGATGTGCACAGACACTGGCCTTTGAAATGAGTGCATTAGAGATGCACTGGCTGCACAGTGGATGTACAGTGACTTGCGCACAACAGCTGAGACTGGAAATGAAAAAAAGCAATTGTATGTCAAGTGTAGCCTATATAGGCTTTCACTCTAGTTTGAACAGACTGAGACCTAGCCTGTACAGGCTCAAAAACAGTCAAAACCTAGCCTGTACAGGCTCAAAAATAGTCAAAACCTAGCCTGTACAGGCTCAAAAAACAGTCAAAACAGCCTGTACAGGCTTCTTTGGTATATGTATTTGATTTTAGTTTTCTAAAATCAAATACACAGGGTACAAATGCATAATTATATTGATCGCAGTGTATGTGTGATCAAGTGAATGAGTGATGGAGAGAACTAGAATAGTTGATGTGCAGAAGTCATGGGAGGAAGTGGATGTGATTTGGAACGATCCATACTGGTGTATGAAGAGTCTTTAATGCACTTAGATTATACATTGTCAAAAAGATTTTGTTGTTGTGTGAACCAGCCTACAGTAAAGATGAATGTAATTTGCATTGAACCTACTGCTTGTATATTTCAAATTTGTGACTGTTTCACTCAGAGTCAACATGTATTAGACAATCCATTGATTGCATGTTGAAAGTTTTGTGTTTGTTTCACTCAGGATCAGATGGTATGAGATGAATCCAGATGTGTGGAGAAGCTGGTGGACCTTTGACAATGGCGTGAAATACAGAGTGGCAGAGTACTACAGTACTACTCAGGTGACTTGGAATGAAATCATCATGATATATATTGCTTGACTTTATTTCATGATTGTTTAGTTACAGCTTGGTAGTTGTGTATGAACATCTTCACTGAGGATGGCAGTTCTGGACACTTGGAAGCACTGATTGAATGATATACACTTGGGTGAGTGAATGATTGAAACTTGATGATTGAAACTGTATCCACCCAAGGATGACAAAGAGAGAGTTGGAGCTCAAGGGCGCCCACTGGAAAGGTCCCATCATGCTGACCATGTTTACCAACCCAGTCCTGCTATGAACAGCAGGAAGTGGAAGTGAAAAAGAGCTTGTGGCAGCAGCATCAGTCTTAGCCAGTAAAGGCTCACCAGCCAGTAAAGGCTCACCTATGCATCAGCCTCTGCAGGCTTTGATTAGCTTATACAAGCTCAGTTTGTGTCTGGCTACAATCAGCTGTTCAAATGTTATGTATATGCGTCAGCCCCTACAGGCTTTGATTAGCTAACCAGCTTTTGATTAGCTTAGTGAAAGATAGTATGCACTTTTGATACCTAGTGGGTGTTTGGCTACAAACCAGCTTTTCAAAGTGAAGCTTGCACAATGGCTGCCCCATGGACTGTGGCTGACTTCAAGCAAGAGATAGTGTCTGCTGGGCTGCTTTTGCAGGCCAGGCCTCACTTGAGTGACTTAAAAGAACACATCACAAGCCAGGTGAAGCACAAGCTAGTGAATTTGGGCCATGTGGATGCCAACAGCCTCATTGACCTCTATGATGTCCTGAAGGGGTGCAACCTGCCTCAAGATGTGAAGGATGACCTCACTGCTACAGTGGACCAGCTGGCCCTTGGATGTCAGGATGAGACCAACACCAAAGTGCATACAGTGCCTCAGCAATGTGACACTTTTCATTTGTACCTGACAGCCTGTGATGTGAGTGAGTTGGAAAGGGTCAGTATGTGGCAGGGGACAGCTACCTTAGCTGCAAGGATGAAGAAACTGGGTATCAAAGGAATGAAAGAAAGCACAAAAAAGGTTGCTACAGCCTTGTTGCTTTACCATGAGCAGCAAAAAAGAGGCAACCAAATGCCTACAGGTGACAGCATTTATGTGCTTTCCCAGCAAATGATGCATGCCCTGGCAAGCTCACCTGAGCCAACACCTATGGGTGTGCCAGCTTTGGCAGTGTATCCAACCCACCCCAGTGCTTTGTCCAAAGAGCACCTGCAAGCTAGCTATGGGGATGGCAAACCATTGGTGAATGATTTCCCTGGTTTGGCACAGCTGGTGAGGTACAACACTCCTGTGAGATGCAGCAACAAGATGGTGACTGCAACAAATGCATGCAAGAAAAAAGAACCTGACCAGCAGGTGGTGAGCCCAACAAGTGACACATCAATGGCTACTATGATGAACATGCTATGCAAAACTTTCAATCAAAACATGATGAACAAGAGCCAAGGACAGCCAGATGCAAAGGTGACCTTTTTGAAGGGCAGCCAAACTGGCACACAACCTTGTGCACCTGACCTAGCTTTGCATGCTAGCAGGAAGCCTGGGCAAACTTTGCCCATTGCTGACAAACAAAGGGACTGTGACCCCAAGGCTGAAGCTGAAGCTGAGCAGCCAGAATGTCAGCAGCAGGGTGGTGGAAAGTCACTGGAAGGCTTTGAGCAAGAGGCCTTCAACAAGCTGAGTGGAGGCAAGAGAACAAAGCAACCCAGTGGTGGCTGCAAGGCCTTCAAAAGGCCAGCTGCTTCAAAGAAGCATGCTGCACCCAAGGCAAATGCAGCAAGCAGCACCAGCACAAGCAAGACCATGAAGCTTGGATGCAGGAAGTGTAGAGGCTCCCACAATGGATGCCAACAATGTCGGAATCCAAGCTACCAGGGGCAAAGGCTTTGCAGGAGTGAATGGAATAAACTTTCAACAAAGCTGGGCTTGACGTGAATAAACTTCTGCAGCTGTATGTACCATATGTTAGTTGTTGGGGTGTCCAGCTGACAGGAAGCACATTGACATCCAGCAGACAAAAGATGTTGGGAAAACACTAGCAGCAGCTGTGCCAGCAAATACATGCTATGCTGACCAGCCTATACAAGCTCAGCACATTTTTGCTTGTATAAGCTCAATTTAGCCTGTGCAGGCTCAATTTAACTTAAAACTGAGGAAGTCTAATTTGTAACAAGCTACAAACATTTAGAAAAGAATTTGGTCATGCAGCTATATGAGTGGCCCAAGCACCATGTCAACCCCCTTCAAGTACTCCTGCCTGGAGAAGTGGGGCAACCAACTGTGGCATGTGGTCCACTACCACAATGGATGGCAGAACTGGAGCCTTTGTATGATTAGTATCTTGAACCAGCATGAACTCATATGTGGCTTGTGACCTTTTGTAGCATGGTTTACCCCATATGTTCAATAGACAACCTCCAACCACACTGAGCCAAGGATAAACTTGGAGGGGTTTTCCTAGGATGGTCAGTTTGTGAGCCTTGTATTTTTTCTTGGCCATTTCCAACCACCCTGTGCCAAGGACAACCTTGGAGGAGTTTTCCCAGCAGTGGCTGAGGCATGGCCTGAGTGAAAGTGAGAGGCAGGCGCAAGTGGCCATGCTGTACAAAGATCATGGCCTGGGTGGTAGCAATAATCAAGGTAGTGCTAGCAGCAGCAGCAGCAATACCACTCCCCAAAGTGGCCAGCAGAAAAACTGAGGTATGGCAACCAGCTTGAAAAGAGTCCAGTATGTGCACTAGCACTTGCCTGCTGACATTAGCCAGCATAGGCTCAGCTGCAAACTCTTTAGCATGGCAGCCTGCATAGGCTTTTCTGCTGGCAAGCCCCCTAGCCTGGCAGCCTGCATAGGCTCATTTGGCAAACCCTTTAGCATGGCAGCCTCCAAGAACTTTTGGTGTTTGAAGGCTTAGAATACTTAAGTGAAATACACCTTGGCAGTTTAAGGCAGCAGCATCCAAGTCCATCTTACAATTCAGAGTGCAATGTCTTTATGCAACCTGTATTTTGCACATGAAGGCACAACTGCCCACACACATGCACATAATACATAAATTCTGCCAACAATTGCGAGAAACCTATTTGTGACTTAAATGCAGAGCCAAAGCTTTTCCTAACATTTTGCAATGGCTTCCAGTTCAAGCAAAGTGCCAGCAGCAGAGCATCCAAATGACAGGCCCACCAAACTGATGAAGCTCCAAGATTTGAGGCAGAGTGTGCCACATATGACCAAAAGTGGCATGGAAGCCTTGCTGAAATATGTGTCTGCAAAGGGCATACCTGAAGCCAAAGGTGCCAAAGACATGAGGGCTGCCAACAGGAAGGTGATCCAAGAAGCAAATGCTTATGGGCCACTTGTGTATGAAAAGGCTTTGGCCAGTGCCACAGGTGGTAGCATTACTTTGCCTTTTGTGATTTTTTTGAGCTGGATGTTTTATGCTTACCAAAAAGGAGGTGGCTGGCAGAATTGTTTGGACAAGTTGCTGGCCAAACATGAATGTTTGTCCTTGATATTGTACAGTGATGAAATATCACCAGGAAACCCACTAGCAAGCAAAGTGGGT